CACAATAATATAACTTGCAAAAAACAAAAACTAAATCGAACTTTCAATTAAATAAATCAACCAAATTAAAATATAAATAATAATTTCACTTTATTTAATATTTTTAATAAAATAAAAATATAAAATATAAATAAATAATATATTTTATTTAAAGCAAGCACAATATAGAACATGCAAAAAAGTTATAAATAAAAAAAGATCAAACAAAAATGAAAAACAAATAATAAATTTATATTCTTAATTTTTTTTAATTAAATAAATATATGGGTAATAAAACAATATTGTTTTATATTTATAATTATGTGAGTTCTAAAATATAAATTAAATACTATATTCATAGTAGTATTCAAAATTAAATAATCAATAAAACTATTTCAGTCCTATAAATAAAACACATTATTTGCGTGTTCTATTATTGTGATTATTTTAAATAAAATATATTATTAATTTATTACTTATATTATTTTACAAATTAATTTATTACGATTATTTTAAGTTAAAATATATCATTGATTTATCACATATGTTTTCACAATAATTACACACTACAACAAACTCACCATGAGTTTCACTTTGGATGGAGAAACTGTATCTAGTGGGAGTCCCAGTATGCATCAAGTTCAACGAATGATGGAAACCAAAGCCTTAGACACTTTCCTCTACTTAGAACTCATCTCTGACAATCCTAAATCTCAAATACCCACCACCATCGACCCTTAACTTCGCGTCCTTCTCACCAAATATGACCCCCTCTTTCAAACACCTGATAGACCACCAAATCCCACTCACAGACACCGTTAACTCCAACAATGTTTGACCCTATCGCTACCCACATTTCGAGAAACAGGAAATTGAAACTCAGATCTAGGAAATGCTGACCAATGGCATTATCCAACACAGTACCTGTGTGTTCTCCTCATTGGTTCTCTTGGTTCACAAAAAAGACCTCACATAGCGTTTTTGGGTTGATTATAGAGCTTTGAACGCCATCACAATCAAATATCGCTTTTATATTCCATCCATAGATGAATTACTCGACGAGTTATACAGTACCAAATGGTTCTCAAAACTTGACTTACCATCAGGATATCACCAAATTTGTATGGCTCCTCATGGCTTTTGGTTTGTGCAACGCACCGTCCATTTTTCAATCCACCATGAATCTTATTTTTCAACCCTATCTACGTCAATTTGGGATCATACAACTTTTGAGACTCACTTGCAACACCTATAAATGCTTTTCAAGTGCTTATACGAGAATGCCTCCTACCTGAAACACTCCAAATGTTATTTTGCTCGTTTCAGCTGATGGAGTAGGACCTGATCTAGCCAAGATTAGCGCTATGACAACACGGCCATCTCCAAGTAACTTCAGACATCTTCGAGGATTCCTAGGGTTGACGGGATTTGTATTGCAAATTCATTGCACAACCATTGAAAGATCTCTTAAAAAAGGATGCCTTTCTTTGGTCTAACCAGGAACAAAAGGCCTTTGAACAGCTGAAGCTCGCGATGACAAAGGCTCCTGCATTAGCTTTACCAAATTTCGAAGAAAGGTTCAATCTAGAAACAAATGTTTCTAGACTAGGGATGGGTGCTATTGTGATCTAACAAGGTCATCCTATTTGTTATTATAGTAAGCAGTTTTGTCCTCGAATGTTCGCCGTGTCCACTTATGTTCTAGTATTATGTGCCATTACTTCAGCTATCAAGAAATGGCGTACCTATTTACTGGGAAACACCTTTACCATTTACACATATCAGCGGAGTTTGCGTGAACTTATGACTCTGGTGATCCAAACTTCTGAAAAACAGTGTTACCTGGCAAAGCTGCTTGGATATTCTTATGAAATCATTTATAAGCCTGGGGCAGAGAATAAGGTAGCTGACGCCTTATCTCGCGTGCACTATTTTATGATTACAACATATCAATAGGGTTTTCTGCAGATATTTAAGTCTCAGTTACTCTAGGATCTAGAGTTTCAAGCCTTATATCGTAAGGTCAAGTAGGACCCCCTTCAATATGCGGGATTTGAGACTCTCAATGACCTGTTATTCTTCAAGATAAAGTTATACATTCTTGCTGATTCTCCTCTTAAGATAGTCCTACTAGAAGAATTTCATGCTTCCTTGCTTATGGGGCATAGCGGGATACACAAAACATATGGCATGCTATAAGAAAATGTGTTTTAGCAAGGAATATGAAAGGATGTTGTTGCATTTGTTAACGCGTGTTCATGTCAACAAGTGAAACCTTCAAATCATCTTCCATATGGGTTGTTGCAATCTCTATCAGTGCCTGACAAGGTATGGGAAGATATCTCCCTTGATTTTCTGATACGACTCCCTTCTTTATAAAATTATACAGTCATTTTGGTGGTTGTCGACTGTTTATCAAAAGTAATGCATTTTGGTATACTTCCAACTCATTTTAGTGTTGTGAAAGTTGCTGAATTGTTTGATGTGATGATCCGTAGGTTGCATGGAATGCCTGCAACATGGTTTCTGACAAAGACCCTATATTCTTGAGCAAATTCTGGAAAGAATTGTTCAAATTAAGCGGCACCGAATTGCGTATGTCTATGGCATATCACCCACAGAGCGATGGGCAAACATAAATTGTCAACAAAGTGCTCCAACAGTACCTGCCTTGTTTTGTTCACAATAATCCAAAACAATGGGGTCAATTATTACATTGGACATAATGGCATTACAACACTTCTCTACACACTGCAACAGGATTCTCTACGTTTCAAGTTATCTATGGACGCCCTCATCCTACACTCGCGTCATACATTGAAGGCTCCACAACATTACAAGCGTTGGACGCCACTCTCGCTGACAGGGATTAGGTTATCAGTATACTGTATCACAAACTTATCAAGGCTCAAAATACCATGAAAACTTATGCTGATAAGAAGTGTATGCTGCATCAATTCAAAGTGGGTGATCTGGTTTTCGTAAAGTTACGACCTTACCAGCAGAATTCCGTGGTGGGCAGGAGGATTCACAAACTCTTTAAAATGTTTTATGGAGATTATCGTATTCTCCAAGCTTATGGGAGAAGTTGCTTTCCAACTTAACTTACTTCCAACAAGCAAAAAACACCCTGTTTTTCATACTTCACAATTGAAGTCGTGCTTGAATCCCACGGCTCAGAATCTTGCAGTACCGCTCGATGCAGTCGATAATAAACCTTTGGTTCAACCTATGGCTATGCTGGATTGGAAACAAACACCAAACAATGAGGATGAGCAGCTACTCATACAATGGGATGGTTTGTTTCCTGAAGATGCCACTTGGGAACTGTACACTAATATCAAATGCACTTATCCACAATTTCACCTTGAGGGCAAGGTGTATTTTGAAGCGGAAGGGGATGTCATGAACAATGGGCCTGAAAGTGAAGAGGAGGAAAGGCCTATTCCTCAAGTGAGAGTCAAAAGGAATAAAGTGAGGCCCCAAGTACCTCAAGGATTATGTGTCCTGAAAATGTGCTTCCTAAGAAAAGATTCTCTAAGTAACGAGTCATCTAGTTTTAGAAGGTTGATGAATCATAAAATTCTGTTAGTAATAAATAGAATTGAATAAGAAATGCATGGCCAAGTGGAGAGGTACTATTGGAATCCTAAGTGCTATAGTACTATATATTGTATCCATTCCATATCAATAAGACTAAAAAAAATTGAAGAAGTAATATATAAGTTGTTTTTATACTTTCTGCTAAGTTCTGCAAAATTGCTTGTATTGCTGTACTTTCTCCTTACTTCCATACCATAATCAGTATGGAAGTAAGCATTAACTGTTTCTCCTTCTTTCATATGAAGAATCTCAAAATCGTTTCGTAAAGCTCGAAGTTGTGCCCTTTTGACTCTATTTGAACCCTTGAATTTTTGCTTCATTGAATCTCATATACTTTTCGACGTGTCTTTATTAAGGATTGTTTCAAGCACATCACGAGAAATTGCTTGGAAAAGGTAATTTTTTGCCTTCAAGTCCTTCAACTTTTTCTCATCAATCAATTTGCGTTGCACCTCTGTGTGCTCTACTCCTGTTGCCATAACCAATATCCCATTCTCAATGAGATCCCAATATTCTTTCGAACGAAGAAAGTTTTTCATCAACATCTCCCAATGGTCATAATGACCATCAAACTTGGGAATAGCTGATTGCATAAAACTATTACTATCACTTTCCGTCATTCTCCTAAACTCCTTCTACTTGAAAGAAATTGCAAATTCTTTCTTGATACACACTTTTTTTCACTCCAATGGTTTCTCTCACACACACTTGCTATGGATCAGGTTCCAATAATAAAGCTCAGATACCAATTGTTATAAACTAATAGTTATTACATTAAATACAAGAGAGAATGCCTTGTTATCATTAAGAATAAGAAATTGCTATATATGCTTTGTTATCATTAAGAATAAGAAATTGATATATATATATATATATATATATATATATATATATATATATATATATATATATATATATATATATATATATATATATATATATATATATATATATATATATATATATATATATATATATATATATATATATATATATATATATATATATATATATATATATATATATATATATATATATAACATTACACTAGACTCAAAAATAGAAAATTTTAAAAATAGAAACCCTCACGTTACAAGCGTTTGTTATGTGGAAACTATATACTAAATCATATTCTTAATAATAAAAACAAATACAAATAGTAATAGTAATAATAATAACCACAAAATTCAATATAATTGAACTAAATATTTCTACACTTGAACAGAAAATAAACTCATTTATTCTCATAATAATCAACTTTCATGTAAATGGAAATCATTTATACAACATAGTTCATGTTTATTATAGCATTTCTTAGTCAATCCACACACATTCACACACAATGTTTTTGCCATAAAATAGCACAAGACCACGTAACCTTTTTCTTTTATCTTGCTTGAACAAAGAGTCTATAATAATTAAGGTAAGTCATGCATTTCTTCCTTCCCTTTCCCTTTCACATCTTCATCTTTTTTCCTGTTAAATGGGAAAGGTCTAAACCCTTTCTGCAGCAGTTTCTCAACCTCCTCAAACTGAAGTCCTTTTGTTTCCGGCACTAACAAATAAATCGCGACAAAGCCAATCAAGGAGAACCCTGCAAAGAGGAGGAATGTTCCAGAAGTTCCTAGAGACTTTATCATGCTTAAGAAGGATTGACTCACAATCAGATTAGCACACCAGTTGAAAACTGCTGCTATGCCTCCTCCTAGTCCTCGAAACCTCAACGGATAAATCTCGGAGTTTAGAACCCAAGGCACTGTTCCGATTCCAGGAGCATATGCTATGATGTAGACTCCAAGGATTACAACGGCAAGCAATCCGATTTTGCTTGGACAGCCCTGTGAAAACCATACTCGCTTTTGTTCCCGACACATTCCTTTGACAATCTTTTCTCCTGCCAAACATGCTCCCGGAAGAAACTGTATGACACAGAGAAATCATATTGAGGTCTGTTCTGTGTCTGTCTCTGGTGAGCCTCATAGTCCAATATACTTAAACTTTTTATTATATTAAAAAAAATGTAGATAAATTTAGTAGAACTTACCTCACTCTTGCTATTGGCACAAAAGCCACATTCTTCATGCAAACATTGCATACAGTTCCAGGACGAGAGATTCGGGGCCGATGTGTAAGCCTTGCATGTAGAGTTTCCGCCAAAGCTAAGGGAATCCAGTTTATCGATCGCAGGTGCATGATGAGATGCTTGGTTGAATGTAACACTTAATACA